GTACCTGCTCCATAGAATTTTAAGTTGTTCAGTTGTTCTAAGTCTGTAGCCCCAGAAGAGAAAATGCCCCCAGTGTAAGAAATCCTTACACTGCCTGACTGGGGAGGCACCTGTCACTCCTACATGTGCACGTAAAACTTTCTTTGTTTGTGTCCCATGCACACAGCTGGGGTGGAAGGTGCTGGGACCAGTTGTGAGTAAAGGGAATGTGGTCAAGTGAATCATTTGAAGTAGGATGGAGAAGAGAATCAAAAGGCCCAAGCCGGGTGACTGGAACTACCTATTAAGCTGGAGGGGTGAGACAAATGAAAGCAAAAAGGTTAGTTAGAAGGTCAGGAGCATGGATAGGTCAAGGCGAGTGGTTCAGAAAGGAAGCCGTGAGAAATGTTGGGTTTGGAGAGTTGCGTGTCTGTGTCTATCTGAAGCCATGTCTAAGTGTGATGGGTAAGAGCTGAAAAGCTCTTGTTAGGGACAGGTACATGGGGCCACCAGAAGTGGTCAGCTGTGCAGCAGCTGGAAGTCTCCCCTAGGACAACTTGCTCACTTCACCCATGACTTTAGGAAGCCTGGTTGAAGAAGAATGTGGAACAAGAGCTAAGAGTGCCACCATTTTCACAGGAGAGAACATTATTTAATCCAAAGCAGGGGAGGATTCGGCAGCCTGGATGAAGCTGGAGACTTTACAAAGTACTTCCCTACCCCTCTCATGTGTCCCTTCCAATGGCCCCAAGACTCAGAGAAGGAGCTAGATGGAGGAGGGTTCTCCTTGCTTGACAGATGGTAAACTTGAAACCTGTGAGAGCAAGTGAGTTGAAGGTCACAGCACTATCTAGGGTCAGACTTAGGGCTTGAGTCCAGATCTCCTCATTCTTGCTGTCATCTCTTCCATTACCATTTACTAGTATTCAAATGATATGTAAAAATAAGCAAATAATGAGACAGAGCACTGCAAACACATTGACCCATTGAGATGTAAGCGTAAGACAGTAGCCAAGTCCCTGCAATTCCTTTGGCGGGTTGGCAGTTCCTCTGGCCACCTCCCCTTTCACCTTTCTGGCTCTGACGGTGGAAATGTGTCTCAGAGCCTGTACTGCATTGCCTCCCCCTAACACACACGCTGGCGTTCTATCTATGGCCGCAGTCCTCTGGGTAATTAAGACTGTGGAGTCACATGAAATATTTTATTCAGTAAGATTCCACTCATTTGCTTATTCGGTTGCTGAATTATTTTCCAGGAATAAATCAGAAGGTTTTACCACTCTATTTGCCTGCGTTAGTTGGGAAGTCTGAAGAAAATGAGTTTAATTCACCCTTCACATTTCTAATTAAAATTTTCTACATTTCAAGCTTTTTGACAGAAAATGAAGATAAGAAAAATTGTGTGGAAGGCAGCTTTTGAGAAGACACAAGCCATGTGTGATTGCTTGAGAGCAAGAAGGGTTAAAAAAGGCAACAACAAAAAACCTGCTCATTTTTGCTGCATGCTTAAAAAAACAAAAAAACAACTCAAACCATCTCTAAATGTAGTTTAATCTATTTTCAGACTCTATACATTATGCATCAAGATTTTGTACAAAAGGAATTTGAGAGGAGCGTTTGCATGAAACCACTTCAGTGGATTAAATTTGCAGTTCATCACATTAGACTCAAAGAGTATACAAGACATTTTGAGAGTCCTGTCTCCTTCCTTTATATGCATGGTTCCTACTTTAGGTAAATAACTTTTTAAGAATGAGTGGATTCCAGCTGTCTTTTAGGAAAAAATTAAGAAAGGGTTTGGTCTACCTTCCACTTAGCTTAACAATAACTATGAATGTTGGAACAACAAAAAGCACGGTTGAGTAGGTAGATCTAAGCAGTTCTACAAATCTTGAGGTTCTTTCAGGCCAAGCCACCCTATCCAAGGTGGAAAAGCTAAGTGAAAAGACATTCCCAGCAAGAGGAGCTCGTACGGGTAGCTCTGTAATAACTACGAACCCCAGCCAGATTCAGTTGGGTTGAACTGCCACTCTGGTAGAGCATCTGGTTGGAAAGCTCAGAATCGATCATCCAGATGTCTTCACTTGGTGGATGGCAGGCATCACTGAGACCACATCTGGATGGACCACATCTGGATGGAGGATCAACAACAATTTTATTTTCTGTTCTTTAACTAATGAATCGTTGGGATCTTGGAAACATAGTATCTATTTCCTCTCACCCGCTGGGGAAACAGACTTTATGGCGATCAGGATGAGGCAGGAGCACCCACAGATCTATACCTTTCTGGGTTGTTAATGAGAGGAGGTCCTAAACTGACAGACAGAGTCTGACCCCTAGATATCATTACTCTGATCAACCAGGGGCTGTCCAAATAATCTAAAGAGCACCTGAAAGTTTGTGTAATAACTTTTATTTTTTCTAATGTTGAAAAGTTCCTAGCAGTGTGGCTGGTTGCCTGGGCTACACTGTTGTGTTGACAGCTCTGGTCCTTTTCCTGGCAGCCGAAGGTCCCGACATGGACCAATGAGAGGAGTGCATTCTACTCTGAACTTTCCACCAGGCTGGTGATTCATGTCAAAACCCACATTTTATGAATGCTGTGAATTCAGCACGAGGTAGCTGTTGAGGTATCTACATTCAACTTGGATTCCATTAACTTTATGGTGTGATTAAATGTCTGAACCATAAAAACTTGGGATTGAATTTATATGCCTTCTGAAAACACTTTTGAAGACCGACAGCTTCGATGAGTGTAATCTGATGCATGGGATCAGGAGAACAAACCCAAAGAGATGTCACCTCAAATATAACAAGGATCTGAAAACCCAGATTTGAGAGTTGAGATGGGCGATCATTCCTAGATATGCATGCGTATTTTTTCCTTTAGAAAACTTGAGTTTTGGTGTTAGAAGGGACTTCGTGGCTTGCCATGATGGTGGTTTTCAACTTGAAAGTAGCTAAGCAGTGTTTGGGATGCTTGTAAAAAAAAAAAAAAAAAAAGTGCAAATTTCCAGATCCTGCCTTCTGATTCTGAAGGGGATGTAGGAATTATAGACCTCCCTGGGAGAAACACTGATTTAGTGGTTTCACATTTGGAGAAGTGACATACCTCATCCATGGCCTGCCTCGCAGCTAATGATAAGTGAGTTAAGACCCAGAACTGGATCTCTGCGTGTTTTCCTCAGTGATCCTCCATCATCTACCTAGTTCATGCTCATCCGCATTGACATTTATGACATGGAAATTATCAGTGGTGTGAAAGTCACATGTGCCTTGTTAGAAAAGAAAAGAACGTAGGGTGTCAGAGTGAAGTGGCATATTGCAGTTTACCAGAAATGAGTTTCGAAATCTTATTTGAAAATTTAAAATATCCCTTAATGCGCAGGGGTTAAATGGGAGATGCATAATGCTTCACATATTTGAGTCAATTTTAGGCAGTTGCTAACTTAGCAGTGTACAAAATATTTTTACTTTTGCATTTCCCTTTATAGATTTCTTTGGTTTTAAATACACTGAAATTTTAATTTAAATTGTCAGTGTATTTAAGTTTCAGAGTTGATAAAATTCCAGAAATGATGAAACTAAACACTTTTTAAAATTATTGCTGACAATTTGTACTTATTCTTTAATTCTTTAATTTGTAAATTATTTGTTTAGATCCTTTGCAATTTTCCTATTGTTTTTTAGCTAGGATTTTTTTATACTGATTTTAAGGATCTGTTCATATATGAAAGTTATTACCTCCATATCTGTCATATATCTTGCTGGAAGTATTTTTCTCAGTTTTTGTTTTCTTTTATTTGTATTTACGGTGAATTTTCTTTTACGTGGAGTAGTTTAAAATTTTTCTACATACAAATTAAAATTATTCTCTTTGCCGTTTCTTTGTGATAATGTTTCACTAGTTGCATTTGTTAAAACTCTCCCTATTACAAGATCAGAAAAATAATTACTTATACCTTTTTTACATTTTGTAGTTCTAATATTAATATTTGTATTTAATGCTCTAACTTCTTAGTATTCTCTTTAAAATGCAACATATAAAACATAAATATACAACTTTAAACATTTTTCATCAAATAATTAATTATTCTAGCATCATCTCTTATAGATTACTTTCCTATTGGTTCATAAAATATATAACTACCATTTATTGTATACTTAGGTACAGTCCTAAATAGTTTTAATTAACGTTTACTTTTAATGAATATACATTTTTTTTTCTTTTTTTTAATATTCAGGCATGGAGGAAAATGAATATACATTTTAATTGATCCTTGCAACAACATTCTAGTATAGTTATTTTATCCCCATTTTACAGATGAACAAACTGAGGCTTAGATAGCTCAATTTACTTATCTACTAAGAGACAGAACTGAGAGGGCATCTCAGGATTGAGTGTCTCTGAAGTCCATAAACTCACCCACCCAAATAAATTGTACCATAAAACAAATTCTTAGTATTAAGGCTATTTTTGGATTCTCTGTTCTGTTTCATTAAATTGACTTCTGTTTTTGCACTAATATCATACTTTTGAGTATTTTAGTTTCATAATGTTTTTCAATCTGAAAGCCCTCTTCCCTTTCAGCTTTCTGAATATTGAACTCTCAGCGGTTCAATATTCATGTTGACCTCAGACTAACATCAACATCTACAAAAATACTTCCTGAGACTTTCCATGGAATCATGTTTAAAACTTGACATCTTTCCTATATTTAAATTTTGCATCTGGCAAAATGTCCCTTAGAAGAATTTTATAATTTTTTTCAGACAGGTCCTTTGCATTTCTTATCATCACCTTAAGTATTTTGTATATTTGTTGCTATTGTGGGAATTTTCAGATTATATTTTGTAACCATTATTAATTTATAGAAAATCCATTTTTAAATAATTATTTTCTCATCTGAATTCTTATTGAGTTTTTCAGAGTAGTTTCTCTTATCGGTGTTCATTGTAGATAATCTTATAATTTATAAACAATAATGATTTTACCCTTGTGTTAATTACTATACTTTTAGGTTCCACATGCTGTCTTATTGCTGTATATAGGAAAAGCAAAATACAAGTGGTGAACACAGCCAACCAGCCAGCCTGTCTGTCTGCCTTCTGCTCTTTCTTTGAAGTACCTATTCTGTGTGCCAAACACTGTGTAAGACCTTGGACAGAGCACCAAGCGAGACAGAAACAGCTCCTGTCTTTCTAGAACAATAGCCTGGGCTGGAGAGACAGACATTAACCAGGTAATTACACAATTCATTCAAATCACAACCCATAACTCCTTCTTGGCTTTAATGGGAATACATCTAGCTTTTCAATTTTAAGCCAATATGAGACTTTTAAAACGTTGTGTTCTTCTAAGGCTAGTTTTTTTTTTTTTTTTTAAAGTTAGGAATATCTTTTGAGTTTTAGAAAAAGGCTCCGTCATCTTGCCTCCTTTTACGTATTTTCAACTCACCCATTTTATAAACAATAAACCTGAAGCTCAGTAGAGCAATGCAAGATGCCCAACATCACACAGTTGGTTTTGACCGAATCCTTGCTAGAATCCAACTCTATAATTCATCTCAGCATAGCAAGAGCAATGTAAATGCATCTGTTTACCAGATACCATGGGCCCTATCAATGTGTCGATGTACTGTCAATGTGTCGATGTATCTAACTTAGATTGGAAGTTTTTTCAAAACAAAAATCATCTCTTTGTGCGTCCTGGGTCCACATGGTACCTGGTGCATTCCAATGATTGCTGCTGTGAAGACTCCTAAGTGTCTAGAGAGGGCAGGGAAAATCCAGTGGGTTGATCTGGAAGCTGGTAAATGACACAGAAGGACAGGATGCAGCATAAACTTGTCATAAGCAGTATTTAGTTCTTCTCATCAGTTAAAAAGTATAGAGAGAGAATGTGTAGAAAACAAATTTTTTTTAAATCACCTTTAATCTTACCATTAAGAGATATTCTCCCACTTTGTTTGAATGCTTTTTCTTTGCCCCTCAATTTTGCCCCACAAAACACGTACCCTATTCAATGATAAATATTGCCCTTTTTTCATTTTATATGGTATCATGAGCAATTTTGAAAATCTGTACTTGCTTCATTATTTCATTTGTTTTGTTTTCTCAGTTTAGCACTGGCCCATGAGCTGTGCTTAGTGGTGCTCGGGTGATCCATCTGGCTATTCATTTTGAAATAGTTTTAACAAATAAAGGAGCCTATGAGGACACCTTGAATAAAGACACCTAACTAAATCTGAAATGGCCACACTTGGTTGAATGAGTGATGACCATGTCATCAAAATTTCAGTGGAAAGGAAATGGCAATAATAATTCAATATGAGGCCAGCACCTTAAGAGCTGAATAGCTTTGGTTTCAAAAATGTCTAGCTATTTTTCATAGACGTGTTGAAATGCAGTAGCTTTTTCTATGACAAACATTTTTAAAACACACCCACACATAGAGAGAATAATCAGCACTAGTAGCATAATCTTTGAAAAAGAAGAAAAGTTCTATGTATCTATCAGCTATCTATGTATCATCTATATCTAAATTCGGAAATGGAGAATTCTGAGAGTGCTAGGACAAGATTTTGTATAAGGTACAAAATCTTACAGAGAAAAGGTCACATTGTGGAGTAGAAATGGCAGTTGCCTACCAAACAGCCCTTCTATCTTTTTTCTTTCTTTCTTTAACAGAATCTTGATTTTGTCCAACTATTGGCTGACTATGTCTTTTGGGGCCATCCTCTGCCCCAGTTGGTAAATCCCGACTCAGCTAAATCAATCATGATATTTCTACTTCTCTTGCTAGTCTTTGGTTTAGGGGTCACCTTGTTACCCAATTCTGGCCAAAGGGCCACAGGAGAAATTCTCTTGGCAGGCTTTGGGAAAAGTTTTTCGTCTTCTCAAGAAGAGATGGAAAAGAAGAAAAAACTCTTTTCTTTTGAACATTTGGTCCTTTTGTGAAGCTACTGCTGCCAGCTTGAAACTATAAGGGGCAACTCTGAGGACAAAAGCCAAGATACTGAAGAGGGCACCAGAGAGAAACAACAGGAATAAACCAGGTCCTAAATGACGTCATTGAGGCTCTCTGTGAACTTCCTTTTATGTTAGTGCATATTTTTTATTGTTTGAGCAATTGGAGTTCAGGATTTTGCTTACTTGCAGCCAACAGCATGCTCACTGATTCAGGTGGTCACTCTTAACAAGTCACAAGTGAACAACTAATGACTGAGCATGTTTGAGGGAGCAAGTTCTGTTTCTATGTCCAGCTCTATGATCTGACTGTTTCTTTTATTTTAACCTATGGGACTGGCTGCTATCCAAACCAGAATAATACTTCAGAAATAGATATCAGTCTTTAGAACTGAGTATTGTGACTATTCATAGTAGCCAACACATCAATATTTGCTCTAGTAAGGGAATTAGCCAGGTTTTTGGAGTAGGTATTTAGCAAACAATCTTCAGTGCAGTAAGGACTATATCAGCAGAAGAAATGGCCTTGGCCTAAGGGAAAAACCATCAGCAAATTAATAATTTAGGGTCTTGTTTATATTTTTCTTATTATATTAGAGAATTCTCAAGCCATCCATAGACCTTTAAAAAAAATACTAGCCTTACTTGAAGGAGAAATTATTTAAGGTGTGGCCCCTAGTAGGAATTCCTGAGAATGCAGTTCCTCATACTTGAGAGGCTCAATCAATTATTTCATAGAATGCCAGTTTAGGAGGGACTGTGGGCTTATATAAAGTAAGAAGTAATTACCTTATATAATAAAACTATAAGCAGGTTCCTAGTTAATGAATTTGCCAGTTGTTTTCTCAGTTTATAGGTATTGACCCATATGAAACGTATTACATATGCATAGACACAGAGAGACACATCCACAGGGTTAATTAGGGCAGGCTAAATGGCTGTAATGACTAGACTCAAGGATGAAGGAGCTCTAAGAAATGAAAGTTTATATTTATTGCTCATAAGGTGGTTTGGATGTGTGCTCTAGATTGGTGAGTGACTCCTGTCATGTGTTCATTCAGGAACCCAGGCTGACGGTTGCACTGTTAGCTTCCAATTGTCCCTCTCCTCACTGCCTATTCGGCCAGCAGGGAAGAGGAAGAGAGAACATGGAGGGGGTGCTGTCTACTCTTGAGCAAAGCCCTTAAAGTAGCACATTTCACTTCTTCCCAAATTCCATGGGCTGAAACTTGGTCACATGGTCACGTTCAACTGCAAAAAGATCTGGGAAATGGAGTTCAGCTACGTGCCTAGGAAGAATGGAGAATGGATTTTGGTGGAAAGCTTCCAACATGTATGTGATATAACAGAGCACCAGGCTGGAAAGGGATCCTAAATGGGGTGGCCTTCCTGGTCTCTCCTCCATTCTCCCCACTGCGATTAGAGTCATCTTTGCATAGTGCAGCTATGCCTGTCCTTCACCAACCACCTCCAAGTCTCTGTTTAAATCTTTTCGTAATTTCTCACTGTATTTATTACCAAGTCAAAACTCTTTATCCTGACCCACAGGGCTCTGCATTGTCTAATCTCCACTTACCTATTCATCCTCAATTTTGGAAAATGCTTTTCTTTTGCTTTGCAGGCTCCAGCCGCACAGCCCACCTTTCACATCTCCTGTCTTCCTTGTTCTATTTCCAAGGGATTTTGCACTTGCTGTTCCTTTTGCCTGAAAACTCTTTCCTCCTTGCCTAAGGAGTACCCAATTCATCCTCAAAGCATGACTCTCCCAGTGGAATATTCTTTGATTTGGTCAAATTCCTCTGTATAAGCTCTCATCGCAAGGTATACCTTTCTTCATAGCACTCATTACAGTTATTTGTTATTTTTTATAATTGTTTTGTCACTGATTAAAATCCATCTTTCCCACTAGACTATAAACTCCATGAGGGCAGTGGTTATGTCTGTTTTTGCTGATGTATGCTTAGCATAGCTCTGACACACAGAAAATACTCAGCAAACATTTATGGAATATAAGCAGGCTTGAATAAATGAATGAATGAATGGATGATCTGGATTCCAATTTGGACCTTGTCACAAATTAGCTGTGTGATCACAATGTCTTTTCACTTTTCTGGGCCTAAGTTTCTTCATAATGAAAGGATTGAACTAGATGACGTTTACGACTTTTAGCATCATGGTCTTACAGTGCTACTATTTTAAAATTGAATCTTGCTGTTCATTACTTTTGTTTAACCATTCAGTTATGTTTCCTAAGAAGATGTAACAAGTTCTGGGGTCCGGCAAAATGGAGCGAGAACACTTTTTATTCTTTTATTTTGAATTTTTGACTATTACAAATTCATTGCAAACTTTAATTTTATCCTAATCCATAAAGTCCAATAACAAGAGAAAAGAGAATTGGATGAGTTAATAAAAAAATAATAGTATCGATTTTCATACCCCAAATGATAAAGAATGAAAGTTCACAAACATTTTGTGGGTCATCATAAGGGACTGACTCTTGTGTGGGGTTGGAAGATGAGTATTATGTTGCTTTTATTCTGGTTGAATTTGGGCTTCGGTTTTTTGAAAGCCATCCATGTATTGACAGTGCATTAATATAAAGTGTCACCAGTATAAGAACAGGGACTTTTTTTTTCCCTTTTGATATTAAGATGGACATTCAATAAAAAAGATTAATATCCAGTTTATTTTAACCTTTTGTGTGTGTGTGATAGGATGGCAGGTAATGTGATCATTACAAAGCCTGATTTCAAGTAGCCAGATAGCATTTATTTATTGATGTATTGTGCTTTTCTTGTTATATAAGACAACGAGTGCTCATTTAGAGAAATTTTAGCAGTATCCAGAGGAGAGTTACTCATTGTGAGCAGCTTGAGTGACTGGGACCATTCTATAAATAGTTGATCTCTTGGGCTAAGATTAAGTGGTAGACTTTATTATGCTGTTATGCTGTGGGAGAATTAGGTGCTAAAAGAAATCAATCCACTGTCTGCTTTTATAAAGTTATGCACATTTTGGGGAAGTTTCAAATTCTACCACAGAACTGAACAGGTAGGGAGAGGCCAGGGCTGATGGAATTTGCAATTACTTCTTTAAAATGGGATTTGTTTAGCACTTCTTCCTTCTTGATGAAGACTTTTTTCTCCAATTTGCAAGATGACTATATCTGATTTTTCATGTGTCATTTAGAAGGGAGTGCCATTCTATTAATGATGAAATCTAACTTTAGGTATCTTTCCTTCTAATTAATTTTGTTTTGACCAAGATTCTTTTTTTAAATTAATACATTTTATTTTTTTAGAACAGTTTTAGATTTATAGAAAAATTGAGCAAATAGTACAGAGTCCCCCTATGCTGCCCCCTTCCCCCCTGCACAGAGTTTCCTCTATTACTAATTATTACTATTATTACTAATCTTATATTAGTATAGTACATTTGCTATAATTAGTGAACCAATATTTACACATTCCTTTTAATTAAGGTTCATAGTTTATTCATATTTCTTAATATTTTCTTTTCAGAATCACAATGAGGGGTGGATCGCTCAAGGTCAGGAGTTCGAAACCAGCCTGAGCAAGACTGAGGCCCTGTCCCTACCAAAAATAGAAAGAAATTAATTGGCTAACTAAAATATACAGAAAAATTAGCTGGGCATGGTGGTGCATGCCTGTAGTCCCAGCCACTCGGGAGGCTGAGGCAGCAGGATCCTTGAGCCCAGGAGTTTGAGGTTGCTGTGAGCTAGACTGACGCCACAGCACTCTAGCCTGGGCAAGAGAGTGAGACCCTGTCTCAGAATAATAATAATAAAAAAAATAATAAAAAGAGAAGCACAATGAGGATATCTCATTACATTTAGTTGTAGTCTCCTTAAGCTCCTCCTGATTATGACATTTTCTCATACTTTCCTTGTTTTGTGTTTTGGATGACCTTGACAGCATTTTTTTTTTTTTTTTTTTTTTGAGACAGAGTCTCCCTCGATTGCCCAGGCTGGAGTGCAGTGGTGTCATAGCTCACTGCAACCTCAAACTCCTGGGCTCAAGTGATCCTCCTATCTCAGCCTCTCAAGTAGCCAAGATTACAAGTGCATGCCATCATGCTCAGCTAATATTTCTACTTTTTTGTAGAAACAGGGTTTCCATCTTGCTCAGGCTGGCCTAGAAGTCCTTACCTCAAGCAATCCTCTTGCCTCAGCCTCCCAGAGTGCTAGGACTACAGCCATGAGCCACTGCGCCAGCTGACCTTGGCAGTTTTGGGGGGTGATGGTCAGGTATGTATATTGTAGGATGTTCTCTATTAAAATTTGTCTGACATTTCCTTCACAATTAGACTGGAGTTATAGGTTTTTGAGATGAAAATCACAGAGAGGAAGCACCATTTTCATCTGATATCAAGGCTGCGTGACATCAGCATGATTTATTGACTATTGATGTTGACCTTGATCACCTGGCTGAAGTAGTTTGTCAGGTTTCTTAAGCACAAAGGCACTCTTCCCTTCCCCTGACCCCGTTTCCATATTGTATTCTTTGGAAGAAAGTCACTATGTACAGCCAACACGTAGGTAGGAATTATGCTCTTCCTCCTTTGAAGTGAAGTATCTACATAATTTATTTGGAATTCTTCTGGAAGATTTGGATCAAGATTCTTCTAAGTAAGTGGGCTCAATTGGGTTTGGGGATTATCCTGATAAGCATTTTGTGGTTGTAAGTTTGCATGTTCTTTTGAAAAAGTAGGGTCATATGGCCATGTCAATACAGTGGAGTAGAAAGGGAACACTGGATTAGGAATGTAAGGATTTGAGTTTGCGAACCAGCCTGGCCACTTGCCAGGAATGTGACCCTCTCCCCTGAGGACTGCTTTGGGTGATCAGAAGTTCTAGTTGGTGATGCAACACACAGGGCGTTTTACTTGCTATCCTTGCTGCCTGGCGCAAATGTTCCTTAGCGTGGCCCTTGACTGGCTCCCTCTTGTATTCTGGTCTCAGCTCAGAAGTCACTCCGTCCAAGAAGAGTCCTCAGAGCACCCAAGGTAAAGTAACTCCCTGACATTCCTGAAACTTTTATGCCATGGCTTTGTGTTATTCATTCATATCATTTATTGTTATCTAAAATCACCCTGTTCATTCAGTTGTTTATCACCTGCTTCTAGATTATAAACTTCATTAATTCCATGAACTCCCTGAAGTCAAGGACCTTATCTGTCTTATATATTTCATCCCCGTACCTAGAAAGTGTCCTGAATAAATTACAGGCTAGATTAAAAAGAAACACACACCACAATGATCATTGGAGATATTTTTACTGAACAGTCTCTTAAGCTAAAAGTTAACATAAAACTCTTTGGCAGACCTGACAAATAAAATATGATAAACCAATCTTCTCCACTGAGGGTACTTATGTGAAAAAGAAAGGGACCTGAGAGCAAGAGAGATTTTCATATCCTATGTTTTGAAATATGCGAATTTCACCAAGATGGGATTATGTTGATCTAGATTCATTTTTCCTAGGAAACTT